ACCGCCCCCTGCGGGACGCACACGCGGCAGGCCTCTGTAAGGAGACCCGGCGGAGCTGTCGGGACGCTGGAAGCCGAGTCCCAGAGAGAGCTGCCGGCCGGCCGTCTCCCAAATCCACTCCAGCAAGGGCCACCGGCCTGAGACACCCGACACACCTCCCGCCCACCGTGCGCGCGTTGGCACTCTGGGGAGCGGCGGGAGGGCGAGACCAAGCTTCCCCGGAATCCTCGACAGACCCAGAAGAGACACGTCTGCGAGATGGGGCCCGGGCGGCACCTGGCGGGGCCGCGGCCTTCACGGCAGCGGGCGCGGGGGCTGCGGAGGGCGGTGGCACCGCAGCTGCCGGGACACTGGTCTCGGGCGGGAACAGCCGGTCCTGCTTCTTGACCTTCCATTTCTTGAAGTAAGGGACTTCTCGGAATTCCTAGAGAATTGAGAGTGTTCAGTAAGAAACGAGCCCTCCTCAGATACAACCTGGCAGAGCAAAGGCAACCTGGCTCCAAAGGACGAATCTCCTCTTTCCACTCTGTGACACAAAAGAGCGACGTGTGTTGTCCAGGGCAACATTCAGGATTCTGGAAAATCAGTACTTGGTCACATGTCCACCCCTGACCAAAGCCCCTGGGTGGCACAGGGAGTGGCCCGCATGGCCCCGCAGCAGCGTGTCTCAGTCGCTCGGCCTGTCTGCTGCCCGCGCTGTCTCTGGTGGGTCCCCTCGCCCCCTGCACCTCTGGCCTGTACCCAGCTCCTGCAGGCAGACACGCGTGCATCTTTAAAAAAAAAAGTCTGCAGCATGTGCAAACTTAAAAAAAAAAAATTCTATAGGAATGGGAAATCACTTTATTTTTGAAGAGGGGAGAACGATGAGGTCAGATTGACAGGAAGGACAAGTGTTTGAGTCAACACTCCAGGAGCAGTGGGAAGACTGGGAGGGACCAAGGATGTGACGTCAGTGAGCAGAGACGCGCGACATCAGCCAGCACACGGGGCCAGGGTGAAAACCCGTCCTGTCCTAGACACTGGGTTCAGGAGCCCACAGACACTCGCGTGGCCATTCGGGAGAGCTAACTTGAGGGGCACTTTTCCTAATGTCACCCCTCCCCCTAAGCACGTGAATAAGAGAGTCTGAGGATGAAGATCAAATCCCAAGCCCCAGCAAGTGGCAGAGTGACAATGTACCCCAGTAGTCGGATGCGAGATCATCCGAGTCTGGGGGTACAGGTGAGTCCTTCCATGACTACCCCAAACCACTGCTGGCTCCTCACCAGCAAAGCTCCCAATGAGATTGCCCAACTGAGGCTTTTCTGCGACATCTAACAACTCAGTAAACAGTTCCACTGAAAGAGAGACCAGGCCAGATGCAGGACACAGCCGGAACCTGCCCCACCCGCAGCACCACCGAGCGGAGGGGCCTTGCGAGCGGCCGTCACGGAGGCCGCAGGTGCCACTGCTGCTCACCGCCGCGCCCCGCTGCGCCCGGCACGGACGAGGCAACGACCCAGAGGGAGTAAGGTGGGAACACTGACGGCCCTGGCAGGCAGGAGGTTCACACCAACGGACAAGCCCGTGTGCGGGCCCACGAGGGCGACCGCGCCTTGGCCCGGGGGCTCCCCGGCGGGGGAGCACCACCCTCGTGGACCTGGGTGTGGATAAGCTCAGAGGCGGGGCCACGTTCTTCCGCCACCAGATTCCAGCACCTACCTTCGGGGTCACCCACTCCTTCCGGCCGGGGGCCTGCGTCTTCACCATGCACTTGGTCCAGGCGGTGACGTCCCCGGTGCAGTAGTAAGCGTCGCTCCTGAAGACGAGCTGGCCCGAGCACTCCTCGCAGGGGAGCAGGGCGCCGAACACCAGGCCGTCGGCCACGCGGTCCAGGATCTGCGTCCGGTGAAGACACGTGGGTGGAGAGGCGGCCACAGAGGCGGGCAGTCTCGGGTGTGGGGTAAAGGAGCTGCGCAGACTTCACTCACCCCAAGAGCTTTCACACCACCCCAGAAACTGCCCTGTTTGGAGCTGGAGTTTCTGTACTCCAGGAGACATTATTTCTATGCGTGAATGTTCCTGCGACTCCCCCAATTAGACGCAGAAGTATAGGAAGCCCAGAGCATCCAGCCCGACGGCCGTGAACAGCGTGGCAGCAGGGAGGCGCTGGCTGGAACAGAGGCTTGCCTCCTCCCGAGAGGGCGCCCCGCTTCCCTCCCCTGCACGTCAGAGGCCTTGGGCATCGGGGCAGAGGCAGGGCCCGAGCACGTGGTCCGGAGACCCACGGACAACCTGGCCCCTCAGTCCTCACCAAACCACCACCACGGGTCCACAGGTGGATGTGCACAGAAGGCCTGAGAGCCTCGCCGGGGAACCCGGCCACGCTGGTGAGGACCACAACTAGCCACCAGCTGCGCTGACCATGTGCCTTGGGTCTCCCCACAGGCCCTGGCCCCTCGCGCGTCTCACGCAGCTCACCGCCGACTCCCCAGAGGGCACTTGCTGCTTGTTGAAGATGAGGAGCTCTTTCAGGTCGTTCGTCGAACACGCCTTCTTCAGCTCGTCCTTGACGTTCCAGATCAGGTCGTTCTGGGCCTACAGACACGGCCACGGCTCAGACACCAGCTCCTTTCCGGAGGGACCTGGCCCGAGGAGACGCCACCCGCTGCCGCCCGCCCACGCCGGTCCTCGCAGCCTGAGAGGATTCCAAATCAAAACTGGTCCCTAGAGGCCACCGGGGAGGCGGGAGGCCACGGGGGAGGGGCAGGCCCGGCACCAGTGGCTGGGAGCAAGCGCGGCCTTCGCCCAGGAGAGCCCAGCGGCCACAGTGTGGCCCCGGCCCCGTGGGCCCTGGCGTCTGCGGCCCTGAGCACTGTCCCTTCATCTGGAGCAAGAGTCGGGACGGTTCCCCACACCTCTGACCTTCCTGTGAATTACCGTTCCACGCAGGGACGGGTTTGCACTGCCGAAATGGAATTTTAAACGTCTCTGGTAATAACCTGTGCAGTGCCCTCTCCTGGGCACTCACCTTGCCCAGGAGGGCCTCAGCGCCTCCACCAGCCCAGGAGGCCCCACAGGCCATGGCTCAGCACCCCAAGGGGACTTTACCGCACCGCCCATCTGCGGCTGTCTCCGGGGCTCACTGCACGGGCTCGCACCCTCGACCCCTCTGAGGCAGCACTGGCGGGGCGAGCACGTCCCGCTCCGGGCGAGGCCGAGGCAGACACGCAGCGCTCACCTTGAGGGCCTTTTCCAGCTTGCCGTCCTTGTCCTTGTCCTTTTTCGATTTCTTCTTTGCCACCTCGTCCATCCCATCGACCTCATCGCCTTTCCTTTTCCTGACAGAGACACAGGGTGGTGGGAGGGCCCAGACTCAGCGCTGTGAGCACGCAGAGCTGCCTCCCTGCCCGCAGTCTCGCCCACCTTCCTGGCTCCACCGCAGCATTCCGTCAACCCACCACCACACCCGCGGGGCGGAGCGGCCAGGGCTGTTCCGGGGCCTGGAGCACACAGGCCTGAACTTCTAGCTCGCGGACAGGGCCGCACCTGCCGTGCAGCGAGTCGGGCCTTTTAGCTGAGCATGTCGCAGCCATCGACGGGTCAGGTGCCTATGACGCCGATGAGCCCAGACACCGTCCCGGGGGCACAGTGCCCGCAAGCCCCTGCCACGCCTCCCCGTGAACCGAGGGTTACACCCGAGTGGAGCCCAGAAACCAGAGCCACGAGGCAGAAAAGTGCCCCCAGCTCCAGAAGTGACCGCAGACGCATCCTCGACGTCACCAGCAGAGCCGCAGCGCCTGCGCTCCGAGCCAGCTTCCGGCCCCACGGAGGGAGGCCGCGACCCTGCCGGCACCGCTCCCGGAGGTCCGTACGCCCAGGAGCGTGCCCACATGTGGAAGCCCGGGAGTGGGCCCGACGGAGGGGCCGACCGGGTTTGAGAGAGAAACTTAAGACAGGGCAGGAGAGGATCCTTCCGCGCCCGGGGTCCTGTGGTGGATGCGGGGCTCCCCACGGCACTGACCTCCAGCCCGTGCGGCAGCCCCATCAGTGCTGTAGGGCCTGGGGGTCTCAGGGTCTCCACTGAGCCCTCACCGAACCCCCAAAGTGCTTCTCTAACCCTCCACACACCCTTCACTCTTGACTGCTGGGAGCTGCTTCTTCAAGGTCTCCTTGTCCTCCGGAGTGAGGAGGCCGAAGCCCTTGAGCTGGCTGGCGCTATACTCAGGCCGGAAGCCCAGCTCCTCCCTGTTCTTCACAAAGCAGCCCGGGTGGTACCAACGGTCGATCATGCCCAGCTGGGGCTTCTCTGGGTCCAGCATCTTCTTAGACAGGCGCACCTGGCCCTGCAGGGAAAACACCCGCGGTAGTAACAAGGCGGGGGCAGACGATCAGGACTCAGGCGGCGTGAGCTCAGGGTGCCCAGAGCCACCCCAAAGGGCATGTGCGGGCTACGGGAGGCCTTGCTCTGGGGCAGTGTCGCCCTTTGGTGTCAGCGCTCCACCACGCCGGTCAACTCAACTCTACCAACTTGCCTGGGCAGGTGGGAACGCGCTGACCCTCCCCGAGGCCGTCGTGGGCGCAGTCAGAGGACACGACACGTATCAGTGGGGCCAGCACAGTTCCGCCTGGAGCCTGCCACGGCCCCCAAGCCCAGCAGGCTTCCCACAGCACCCCGCTCACCCCAAAGACTGTCTCCACACAAGAGGCCCTGCAGAGATGTGGCTGTCCGCGGCTAAGACCTTATTCTGCCAACCTGCCAGGCGGACCCCCGGGCCTGACGCTCTTTGGAGTTTCATGCCCGGAGCCCCAGAGCCAGAAAACTCAGCAGGAAGCGGCACTTAGTGTTCCTTCCAGAACCTTAACTCTGCCCTCAAATTTTTGGCGGAGGCAGAGGGAGAAGAGCCAGCAACTCCCTGTTTTCCCTCCCCAGACACCCATGGGCTCCAGGCAATTTCCTGTACAACACTCTAAGGGGCAAAGACCGTCAGCCCCGGCTCAACCAACCAGGCGCAGTGTTTATATACGGCCCGAGAAGCGTGGCAAGGCCAGAGGGCGCAGGGTGCACCTCAATTTCCTGTGCAACTCTGGGGAGGCAGGAACCATCCCCCCAAAGTCAATCAGAGCCGCCCGGACCCGAGGGCTCTGAGCGTGGAGGACACAGCCCTGCCCCTTCCCGCCACGCCCACGGGGCCTGCTGTCGCCTGGCTGTCACTGGCTCTGCAGGGGCCAGACAGCCTTCCTCCACCCCTGCTGGGGCAGAAGAGGCTCTGGTAAGTGCCCGCACACCCCACCAGGTTTCCCAAGCATGGAGTCCACGCTGCGCCCCAGAGTGACTGGGCCGGACCCATCGGGAGGCCCCACAGGAAGAGCCAGTGCCAGCCCCACCCGGAGCCCGGCCCTGGGCTCGCCAAAGCCCCCCCTCACCTTTTCGATCTTCTCCATGCAGCCCTTGCACGTGCTTCTGTTGGACTTGGCGTACTCGGCCGCGAAGTCGCCCAGAGTCTTCTCTGTTTTGCCTCCGCCTCCGTCTTGGCCTTTGCCTGAGAACCCAGCACAGCACGGCTCAGCCCGGCAGCGGCGAGGCGGTCTGGTCTCGCCTCCCGCCCGTGGCCTAGGCGCCTGCGGCCTCCCAGTGCTCGCCCGCCGCAGCCCGCCGGACTCTGCGTCCACTGGGTGCCTGTCCCCTGACGCGTGCTTTCGTCAGAGTGCTACGGAGGGGCATCCTTGACGCAGGACTCGACACAGGTACACGTCACAATGAAGTATGGGGTAGTCCTGGGGATAAGCGGTCGAGCATTTGGGGCAAAGGGTAGATTCTTCTACAAAAAATAAATCTCAAGGCTGAAAGTTTCTCTGCTAAGATGAGCCACAGGCAGGGAGTCTTTCAATGCTTCTGCCCAACTCTGCACTGGTGCTTCCAGCAAGAGCCCCAAGGCAAGAAAGGAAAGGAAAGGCGCAAGTCTAGAAACAAACGGTCACCTCTGCTTGGAGGTGACACGGCTGGCACAGGACCACCCTAGGCGACACAAAAAGCAGCTGTCACAGTTAAGAGTCCAGCAAAGCACACGGCCAGTGCACAGAAGGTTTCTGTCTCTCAGTAATAAACACTGGAAAAGGGAATTAAGCACACCACTCAACATGCCAGCGAACGGCTCTGCAAGACCCTGACACTGAAAGTGACAAGGCTTAGCTTACAGGAGACTCAATTTGTTAATATGAAATTTATCCCCAATTTGATTCAGATTCAGTGAGCTGCTGCTGATCAAAACTCCAGCAAACTTTCTGAAAGAAACCGACAATTCTGTCACAAGATTGAGGCAAAGACCCTAGAAAGGGAAACACAACGCCCAAGAACAAAGTGTGTGCTCGCGACTTGCTCTGACGTGGGTTTCTGAGACGGGGCACCAGCAGGCCCCGGGACTGCAGGTCTCGATGCAAACCTACAGTTATGGGGGTCTCTGCGCTCGACAAACAGCTCAGGATTTTCAAGAGTCTGGAGACAGTGCGGCCCGGTCTCCCGCCCACAGTGGGAAGGGGTGGGGCGCACAGAGCGGTGTGCAGGCCCGGGCGCCACATAATCCTCAGGGGCACAGCAGAGGGTGGAACCCTGCACTGAGCCCCGGAACGTCCCGGGCGCACCCCAGGTCTCCACACACAAAAGGACAAACATCCTATGACTCCACTTTCATGAGGTGCAGTGAAATTCAGAGACAGAGCAGAGCCCAGGGCGGGGCTGCGGGAGTCGGGGCTGAGCGCTCAGCGCCGCGCGGCGGGCAGACGCCCATCACAGCTGGACAGTGGGACGGCTGTGTGGCGACACAAAGGGACTCAGTGCACAGACACTAAACATGCTCACGGGAAATACTGCGGTGTGCATCCTACCACAGCCTGGAGTCCTGAGGACAGATTGAACTGGGTCAAGTCTAGGAAGCCAGAGCCCTGAGAACAGGCTGCTCAGGAGATGCAACAAGGGAAAGCATGAACTATTTAACCTCCCAGGCACCTCAGCTGAGCTAAGTCGTGGCGGCGAGAGGGAGAAGACCCAGAGCAGCCCACAGGGCACTGAGGAACAGCAGTCACAGGACAGACACCGCCAGACCTGCGCAGAGGCACAGAAAAGCGCAGGTTTGCGGAAGGACAGGCCAGAGGAACAGGATAGGAGACCCCGGAAACAGACGCACACAATTCAGTCAACTGGTCTTTGACAGAGCAAGAGGCTCTCAGTGGAGTAGAGACGGCCTTGAACACAGCGGTGCTGGAATGAGTAGACATGAAAACAGAAATGAACCTGATGCACACACCACAGAAATTCGGTCTAAACTGATGGCAGTTTCAAATGTAAAAAACAGTAGAAAACTCCTAGAAGATACAGGAGAGAATTTAATGACCTTGGATATGGTGAAGACTTTAGATAAAATGCCAAAGACATAACCCATGAAAGAAATAACTGATAAGCTGAATTTTACTAAAATTGTAAGCATCTGCATTGTGAAAGATGCCGTTCAGAGAGAGAGCAAGACAAGCCAGACTGGGGACACATTTGCTAAGCAAAGGGCTGTGCCCAAACTATACAAAGACCGTTAAAGCCTGTCAAGAATGTAAACAGCAAAGTGGTGAAGTCTCTCAACACACTCTGCACCAAGGAAGCCCTCCCCACGCAGGTGAGCGTGTGAAGAGATGCTCATCCTGGCCCTCCCTCGTGGAGGAGGGGTTTAGAGCGCAGCACTATGAAGCTGTGTGCAGCCACTGCAGCCCGGCTGGGTCAATCCTACCCCAGAGACGACCCACA